CAGCTCCGCGCCAGCTCTGGCTCCTCCTCCCCCGCCGCGGCTGCTGGTGCCACGCTCCCTCCTCCGAAGCCGCAGTTTCGCTAAACCGGCAGCGAAAACCTCAGCCTGGAGCTTGGGAAGACCCAAAAGGCTTCCCGGATGCCTTTTCCCGTCTCTCGGCACTGCCAACAGGTCGCTGCCGGGCGAGGGATGGCGGTACCTGACCCGCAGCATCCGGGAGGACGGGAGCGGAGAAGGAAGCGGATCTGTGTCCCCCAGAACCAGCCCTCCTCTAACCGTGTCGTTTTGTTGCAACCTGTACGCGTTAAGAAGGTTTTTTGCTGCGCCGCCTCTCCCGCGGGTGCGGGAGGGGACGCGGGGAATGCACACAATCATCCTCCTCCTCGGGGACAGGGTAAGGGCAGAGGAAGGAGGAGGATCTCTAGGTGACGCTCCTCTAGGTGCTTGCAAAAGAATTGCATTGGGGCAGGCAGGAGAATAATAATGGAAAAAAAAAAAGATATTTGAATGTTTGTGGTGTTCCCATCACGACATTTCTACTGCTGAAAGAAGAATCCCGTGTGTCCACCCCGTCTCTAAGCACCCGGGAGGGAACGAGACAGACCCTTCTCACCCTCACCTGGCAAGCTACACTGGAATGGTGTAGCACAATCTGCATGGAAGCAGATTCAAAGGCAACATGTTGCTGCTTGCTCCCAGTAGCATCTCACAGAATTAAGCTGACTCAATATCTGAGTGGAAAAAAAAGCACTGGTTTGTGATCAGATTAGATTTTCCAGAAGGACGCTGAAGCAGAGAAGTCTCTTTTTTCTGCCCCCCACAAAAGTTTGACCTAGAATCCGAAAAGTCAAAAAAACCTCTTAGTTTCTTTTCCTTCCGCTCCAGTGGTAATACAGAATTACCCAGTTCCACGACAACAGAGAATTAAGAGGTCACAAGAGCATTAAGAAGCCATTCTCCTTTAATAATTCCATCTGGAAACCCTCTAGACATTAGGACACATTTCAGAGTTGTAGCTGTTGACATATCTGCAAAAAACATTGCTGATAAGGCAAGAAACAGCAATCTGATGGTTTTTGGTTTGTGTGGGTTTTTTTTTTTTTTTGATCAATCAGCTTCTCAAAATACCACTGAAAAAAATCTGTATCTCTGTGCTTTTAGCGCAACATAAAAAGCAGACAGTATCCCCTTTTCTTGGAGGAGTGCTTTGACAAAAAATATTGGAGTAGCATCTGTATATTACAATCACCAATGAGCTTAGAAATGTTAACTAATAAAGTTCAATATGCAATATGTAGAACAAATTTTCTCTCGGACTCTTAATCATATTTTCAGAATACACAGTATAAAAAAGTTTCTCACGTTACCGCAGTGGGGAGATTCTCTTTTCAAGGTTAAGTCTTCAGCATCTGCCACAGAAGAACAACTTTGGCCTTTATATTAAACTCTGAAAGCATTGAAAGAGTATTCTGCCAGCCTGAGCTTTCAACATTTGAATTTATGTCAGTGAACGCTGGTGGAGCTGTTTTGGATAACTGGACTTCTGCCTCAACTTGATCCTGCTTGGCTGCCAGGGTCACTTGACTCAAATA